TTTTGCTTTTTTCTTGTTCTTATCTTCGAAAAAAAAAAAAACTTTTTTTATCCCTAAAAGAAAAAAGTTTAAAAAAAAACATGCCAAAAAAAACAAATAAATAAAAATAAAAACTAATAATAATAACAACAACAACGACAACAGCAGCAGCAGCAGCAAAAACAACAAAAACAATAATAGAAAACTATGAATTTTAATTCTAAAGTTAAAAATCAATTTGATCAATGATATATTTATATGTAACGTAGATTGTGCTTAATATGACTGAGCTACAAATAAGGAACGACAAAATCAACGTTTCTGTTGTCTTCATCTTCCATCATCTTCCAGTTCAACCTCTAGTTTTATCACTACGTCAGCTCCCAGTCTACAACTCCAACATTTAATTCATTAGTCATCTTTAGACTTATTATTAATACAGTTCAAGTATATCTCAATCCCGCTGACCACAATTTTTTTCTTTTTGGTAAGACGTCTTGAATTCTAAAACCATAGTCTGGAACAATATTTTGAACACTTCCCAGCACTTTGTGCAACCAATCAATTCTCAAGCAGCCAATAAACTTAGAAAATTTTTGATGAATTCTAAACATACACATACATATTTACCCCCTCACTCACACACATACGCATACTCATATACACGTATGTATACACTATAGCACATAAAGCTTCTTACTCAGAATTCAATGACTTTTCGACATCCAAAATAGAAAAATATAAAAAAAAAAATGAAAAAAATTTTGCCTATCCTTAAACCCAGCAAAAAATTTTCATCAAAATCCTCACATTAGAGCCGCCTTCAACTGACCACACTTTACCAATTTAGAGTGCAAAAGTTCCATCTCTCAGGGTTAACACTTAGAACCAAACTTTTTTTTTCGTTTTTTTTCCTATCATCTTTCTATCTTACTATCACTGCCTATTCTTCTTCCTATCCTCCTTCACCCCCTCATCCTCCTTCTTTCCCACCCCACCTTTTTTCTTGTATCCAATGAAGTTGATGATACATAAAAGTTAGCATATAAAGAAAACGAGGAAAGGCGAAGATATGTCTTCAAAATATCCCAGATTAAAAATTTTTGTTCTGCAAAAAATACTTCCTTTATAAGTCTTTATCCGTTGATTTATTTTTTTTTTTTGAACCCCATTCTACACCCACTAAGTTTATTCAGTCGGTTTCGTGGGCAAATGTAAGATGACGAAACGAGGAGAAGCCAAACAAAAAATTAACAAGTTTTCATGAGCTTCGCCACTGTTGTTGTTGTCACTGCGATTTTGGCTGATGCTATTGTTGCCGATGTTATTGCCGTTTACTTCATTTTAAATATTCATACTTTCCTTTTTGAATTTTTCGGAAAAAAATTCGTACAACGCTTGAAAAAATGCGAATTCAAAATAAAACAACAGAATATCTATGGTTTTTTAAAAAATAATCAAAAAAAAAACGACTTTTAGTTCTCGGACAACAGTGTACAGCATTTTGCAATATTTTAAACGTAAAAATAAGTTTTTCATCAATCAGCCAGTCACCCAGCAAGTTAGTCAGTCAATCAGTTAGTTGGTTAGTTAGTTAGTTAGTCAGTTATTCAGTCATTCAACCAGTTATTCATAGATCGACCAACTATTTGCGTAAACAG